AAGATTAACCTTCAGGGTGGATATAGCTCGCCAGCAGCCTCACACCAATCCATGTCATCATTTACCCAGAATGCTTTGCGTGTAAATAAAATGGCCCCGTCCATATAATATATTTTTAGTTTAAAAATGATTAAAAAAAAACTTAACATCCTACAGTATTTTACAGTCTTTATTTTACAGTTAAAATATGTTTATTAGGTTTATAAGTCTTAATGTTACAACTAATCATGGATCCCTTTAAAAATACTAGTATACTACATACAAAGTATTGCGAGATCTCAAATATTAGAAGTATGTGTTGGGAATGACTCTCAGCTTCTACAAAACCCAACATTTATCTCAATATTTGTAAAACTGAATGAGTTACAGCCGTGTTTGTGTTGGCTGAGACTGAGCAGCTGTGTCAGCCATCTTGAAAYAGATTGACTCAGTTGCGATGAACATCCAGTAGACCGTTTCATACTTACAAACACACATAGCGGCAGGGTCACAACRAAATCTAAATGCAAATACAAAATCCAAGATTCCTACCCACTTGTTAATTATTTGGGGGTGGCACCTGGGATGGCCAATCAGGTGGCAGGTGCCACCCCGGCCACCCCCTGGCTCCGCCTCTGCTCTAACCCCTATCCACAGTTATGTGTGCAGAAAACTACCAAATGGTCTATTTTGACTTTTTAAAACACACGCAAATGCATGAATAGCTTAAACGCAGCATGAAGTAATTCTGCTGTGATGTGCTTTTTCTCAGAACGTGGAGTGATGCAGCATGTGGGTCATGTATTATTCATATGTATACAATGGGCATGTATTGCCACAGTTAAAGTGAACAGCTGTGTGTTGCAAACTAAATAAAAACAAAAGAAAAACAACTGATGGATGGTCCGGTGTGACTTGTCTGCAAGCATCATTATATCAACTCTTCCTCTTGCCCTGAAGGTAAAAAATAAATAAAAAGATGGAGTTTTTCATGACATACTCTGCACCAGGACAGGAAAAAGTGTAAAAAATAAAAATGTCAGTTTCTTATTTCTGGCATTACCCAGCACATCCACCTCCCTCTCCTCCTGATTGTTCGATCGAACAAAGGTGGCTGACAGCACTGGGGCTGCAGTATTGACCGCCGTGGACATGGAAGAGCTGATGAAGCCCCTCCTGCCCACCTCCTAGCGAGAGGGGCTGGTGAATGTGGCAGATTGTTCCTGCAAGATGGTTGTGTTGAGGGACAGAAMAGAGGCAGGTGTGCACAAACACTTTCACACACATTTCATGGATACACCGTCACACCTGTTTAGCACAGGGCTAATTAAAACAGGAAGGCCTGAGAGGAAACTGGCCCTTACAGCTAACTTTTCACTGACTTATTTGAGATGTGACATCAGATTTGTGCATTTGGGCATTTTAGACTTTGTGGTTCATTATATCATTAGGATGCAAGATAATTATTTTCCTGTACTTTCTGTTTTTCCTTACAGTAATTATCATGCTTTGTTATTGCTTTAATACAGAATTAGACATTTGTTAATTAGTTATGTTCATTTAAAGCTTTAGTGKCTAATTAAAGGGATCGTTTTGATCATTTTCAGTGGAGTTATCWGGAAATCTTATGAAYAATAAATATCTTACCTGCTACAGATGACTCTTTGAWTGAGCTCAGTTTGAMGAAACRGAGTTTAATTCAGTCCTGAYTGACAAGTTATCAGTTAAACTAAGTTGGTGTGAAAACTAAAGTGGACTGGGATCCTCCAGACTGTCTGAAGTGCTACAACTAGCTGCTGCTATTTACATTAGCAAATGATAAAAAAAAAAAAACAACAACTGCATAATGCAAAATAGACAGCGATGTGTAGTTACAGTATAAAAGTTAGCATTAGCGTGCCAATTTGGCCAGAACTGAAAGACTAGCTTTTTTTCTGTTGGACAAACACAGAACAAGCTTTAAGCCCCGCCCCCTACTTGTAACGTAACGTTGCCTTCAGTTTGTATTTGGCAGCTATTTTATAGCGGCTGTAGATTTCGTCGACAGGTAAAATAATAATTAACCATCTTTCCRTAAAAACACATTTCGTAACATCTGACCTTGTTTCTTTAATGTTTTTATTCAAGTCTGTTTTGCTAACGTAGCATTTCCTTTTTACACTCCACCCCACGTGGTTCTTTTTTACTTTTCATTTTCTTTGCATGTCCAGCTCAACAATTTAAAATTTTCACATGCACGAAAACTTGTAGSGTCCGCAACTTCTTCCTTTTCTGCTACCTTTCATTTAATTTATGATTTGTATTTTTGTTGTTTGTTGAATTTATGTTGTTGTTTTTAAAGAAATGAATAAACTAAACTAAACTTCATTACGGCCAGAATGTGTTTRAGGAAGTTGCAGATGATGAGGCTTCAAAATTATTAGTCAGAACTAAACTAAACGTGAACTGTCCTGATGCATCTCAGTAATCCAGGTAAAAAATCAAAAAGAAAAAAATTGTATAGGTCATGAATCATGAGATCATGTTTCTAAACATGATGTCCCAGTAGCTTTCAAACCCCAAAACACATTACGGCATAGGCTGGTTCACCCCAAAGATCCGGTGCCCCGGCACAAACAGAGCAATGTTGTATATGCTGTTAAGTGCCAGGAGGACTGCGACCAGTTATACATCGGGGAAACAAAGCAGCCACTGTTCAAAAGAATGTCCCAACACAGACGAGCTACATCTAATGGCCAGAACTCTGCAGTTTTCACTCATTTACAGGCCAGCGGTCACTCTTTCAGAGATGAGGATGTTCTCATTCTTGATAGAGCGGAACGTTGGTTTGAGAGAGGAGTAAAAGAAGCCATTTTTGTGAAGAAAGACTGTCCATCATTAAACAGAGGTGGAGGCCTCCGTTTTCAGTTGTCCCTCTCCTACAGTGCTGCTATTGCCAGTATCACTCCACCCCCTGTTAACAATAAGTGTTAATTAGGTGTCAAYGATAGCCATGTGATGTGAGTATCAGTCACABGGAGGCWGGRCTHAAAAGCCTGAATTTTGCCTGAAACTCTCAGACTGAAGAAGTCTCTTGGAGGAGAGACGAAACGTTTCATTAGAGAAGAACCCGTCCAGAAGACCTACACGATTTTTTTTCTTTCTAAACGTGAACTGTTTAAGCAGTTTTTTTATTAAAAGGTTATTCACTGGAGCACTTTTTTTTGGATAAATTCAAACCTTTGTAACATATTTTCTTCAAATGCTACTTGGTAATTTAAAGCAGCCACATATAATAAACACAGCAGTACCCAAAGGGACATTTTAGGGCCCAAAGCTTCCATTTGTTAAGCACTCAGGGCAAAGATACAAATCACTAAATGTCTGCCTGTGGATCCGTAAGCTTCCTGCTGAATGGACAGACGGGACTTTCCAAATAGGATAAAAACTCAGGGAGTGTCTTACCCTGTCATCACAAATGCTGTTCAGCTCTCACACACACAAGCGAGAAGGCACAAATCTACACACTCCCAGGGGTAATCAAAGCTGATTTAGCATCAGCATCTGTCTGCAACTGAGTGTGGCTCGCTGGTAACTGTGGATTTGGACGCGCTCCAAATCTACAGGGTTTGGTGTGTTAGAAACTGTCACGCTAGTGTATACCACACACATGCTTAGCAGCTTTAAAAAAAATCATTTTTGAAAGTGAGGGATTAATAGAAATCCACATTGTCACACGTAACATTTCAATCCAAAGCCCTGAAAATCTCTGAGGGAGGCAGTGAAAGCCCAGCCAGCGGTGAAACGAGGTGTTACACGAGCGTAATAAAATGTAGCTGAGCGGCAAGGCGGCACATCATAAAAGAATGCACACAAACCTTTCTAATGCTTCCTGGCATGGAGTGAAGTGAGGAAAAAAAAAAACAGCCCACGCCCTTAAAGCAAACTGTTTGTGTCTGGTTCATCACAGGGCGAGTGGAGAACAACTCAACACAACGGCTGTTTATCTAATCCTCAGGTGTGACTTTAGAGCCTTAGAGCCTGTTTAAAATCCTCCTCTGAATGTGGGACATTTTGCTTGTTTTTGTTGAGATTATGCAGTAAACATCGGCGTAATGCAGCAACCGTGATTATATATGAGAGCAAAAGAGCAAAACCAGAGTTTATGAACAAATTAGAGTTTTTTCATACAAGCTTGGCTGTGCAGAGGAGGAAAATGGACATTTTTCCCACAAAGGAATATCAGAAATTTAAAGCTTTTGGCTCATATTTGTTCTCACTCACACAAAAGCCCTTAGAAAAAATAAAACAAGTGAAATTGTTGAGCCTAACTTTTGTAACGTGATGATTAAATTTAGTGGTTTTATTATTTTTAATAGGATTTAACAGCTACGGAGTGTAAAATCCTCATTAAAACATTTCCACTAACATTTTATTCTTATTTATCTCACTGTTTTTAAATGTTATGTCTAAAAATCAAATCCTGAATTAAAATGTGTAAATCAAAATGTAAAGATTGAATCAGGTAAATGATAAAGCTTGCATTTAAGAATTTCGGAATGAAACACAGCCTGGTTGGTGCGCAGCTTTTGTTGTGACGTCTTCATTCTGCCACTTTTTAATTCGAGTTAAAGTTGTCTTGAAACACTGAGTTTCAGAACATTTACTGTTTTAGTTCTTTTCATTTTTTTCTGTAGATTGTGTGAGCAGGGTGTCTACCAGGGCATGAGTCTGCCAATCTTGGTCCATCTGCTCTTTGTCATGAAGAAACCGACTATTGGATCGGTGATGGCGCCCCAGACTTTCCCCACAAACAACACCATGGAGGCCTGGACGGCGTTGATCTGCAGAGCGGGCAGAGAAACAGAACAAAGCTCAGAGCACTTCCAGAGCCACCGCTGTTTAATGAATGAACTACAGACTCTTTTTCTGTACTTTTATGAACTCTTTGTCCCGCCCACAGTGTTTACCTGAGCAACATCCAGCAGGTAGATTTGCAAGAAGAAGGCTGTGGCGCTGGCGGCCACCTCCTTCGGTGCTCCACCAATAGCAAAACACAGTTTGCTGCATACGGACAACTTCTGGCTCAGGTTGGTCTGTGAAGACAGGAGAGGTGAAAGAAATGGTCAAATGGAGCAGAACAAAACAAACACGTGGTTATAACTCAGTTCAGTTTACAAGTATTGAGCTGAAATTCACCTCTATTAATACTTAAGATTTGAGCTCCAACTTTGTTTGACCTAATTTTAAGTTAAAAACATTGATTTATATATAAAAAAAAATCCAGTTTCTCTTAGCTAAGTTTTTTTTTTAATCAAAGTGGACAGAAATGAATCTGACAATATTGCGAAATGGCTGTGGTTCAAAACTGGAGCAGCTACCCTGTCCAGTTCTACATTTGTCAACATGTACCATTGATGTGAAAGTGTAAAAACAACACTATCCACCTAAAGAAATGACATTACTGTTAAAACGCAGAGTGAATGCTGAAGAACTTAAAAGTATAAGTTGTTAAAGCTCAAACAAAAGCTTAAAATAACAAAACACTAGTTACAATAAATGACAAAATGCTAGCTAAAAGCCAAAAGTAGTCAAATGCGACCTTAAAATGAGAAAAACCACCAACTCAAATCTAAACATAGTTTTTCAAAGTAAAAAAATAACAATAAAAGCTAAAAGAACCAAATTGCTAGCTAAAAAAAGGAAGATGCAAGCTAAAACAAACAGAATGTCAAGAAAGTTGTAAAATGCTAGCTAAAAGCAGAAAATGGTTGCCTGCTAGTTAGATTTATCAAAAAACAATCTAAAATATAAAAGTGGCAAAAGGACAGCTCAACCCTAAAATAGAAAAGAGTGTAGTTAAAAGTATAAAAATAATTGCTAAAAGCTAAAAATAGCTAAAGGCTACCTTAAACAGAAGCAATCCACCTAGCAAAATGTGTCTGGCCCAGCTCTGGCCCACACAATGCACTAACAGTCGGACCAGATATTTTGGTGGCCCAGATAAGGTTTGCCAAAGGTGGTCCATGCGTGGGCCAGCATCACAGAAAACCAACCACAACCAGGCCAGTTGTGACATGCCATCTTAAAAACAGTCATCACTGCCAGGCCTGGCCCACATCCGGTTGACAAACTACTTGCCTTGCCAGCAGTGCCAGCTTGACACCAGATCTGGCCCACAACTCTCTGCTATGTGGGATACGTATACAAAAATAGAAGAAGAAATAGATTGCAAAAACTGTACAAAAACAAAACAACACAGAAAAACAATCATGCTGAATCAGCATTCACACTATAMGTTAGTTATAAGTTGCTAGAAACTATAAGGATGTCGGAAAGTAGAGAAGAAACCRTATTAAATTGTGAATGAATGAAACAAAAGAAGTAAAAATCTAATGTCAGGGCTGCAAGTTGAAACAAAATCTCAAGGTTCCATTTTGTCAAGTAAGCCAAATACAGTATATGAACATAAACTGACTGTAGACAAAAATAATGTCAGTAAACTGAGAAGACATGCTTCTTTAAAGGGGCAATATCATGTAAAATCAACTTTTTTGAATTTTATATCAAGTTATAATGTTACACTCTCATAAAAAAAACATGCCCAAAGCCTTGCTTTGACTCATTCATGCGTGTTTAAGAAATCCTGCAGCGTTTTTAGGCAGCCATGCTGAGGAGCAAAACGACAGGTGGGGACCAGAAACGCCTCTGGGCGTGTCTTTAAGCTGAACTTCCTCATGGCAGAGTGTCCACCCCCCTCCCCCCTCACCACACACCCCGCCCATGACTCCTGCAGGCTCTCGGGTGAAAGTGAAAGTGAAACTTAAACTGTCTGCTGAGCTCTCAACATTAGTTCTCACTCAGTGAAGCCCTTTTCAGATTAAAATACCTTTGAGGAAATGTATGTATTTTCAGACGCCAAGTAAACTGCATCATGCCAGCCCCCCTTGCAGCGCGAACCCCGAAATGGGTGAGACAGAAGTGGAAGGTGGTTTTTTAAAGAGACACAGTCCAATTTCAAGGCGTTTAGAAGAGGAAGTGATGAGAAGATAAGTTTATTTTCTATTTAAACATAAAAACAGCATTTGAATAACAGCTAAAGGTGACATAGATACTTTATTATGGTATAGTATTTAAATGTCTGCCTGAGAAACACATAATAATGGCCCTTTAATTG